TTTTTTTTTTTTTTTATGTTCAATCTTTGCTAAAGTGATCCACTTTATATACAAATAGAATATGTTAAATATCAACTAACTTGTTAAGTATTTCAACGAAGAGTGTTACGGGCCCACTGCTACCCCTGGTGACATTCGCCATCTGCTGAGCAGCATTTGCAATCCTCAATGAACGCTTTAAGCAGAGTAGAACCCTGGAGTGGGGTTACAGGAAGCCACAGCACGCCTAATGTTAGACATAAATTGTCATAAAAATTATTTCAACGAAAAGCACAAACATATTACACACGAATTACCTCTCTCCATCTTTGATGCCATCCTGATCATCTACCCAGAAAAGATGCGAACACGCATAAACTGCTCGGCACTGATCTGGTTTTTTTAAAAGTTTGGCCGAATACTGAAAATAAAAGAAAACGAGGTGATGGTGTGGTAAGAAAAAGATATTTCCATATAATATGATATGATACGATGTACAAATATAATGATTAGGTACCCCTGTTGCTTTATGAGTCAATGTATCTCGGTTTTCAACACCAAAAACATTCATTCTCTGCAGAGTCCCAATTATTAGGTGTATAGCCGTCACCTGGGCTTTGGAATCCTAGATAATATAGAAGGGTAAAAAAAAGTTACAAAACGGGTCCAGCATAAGAAACAAATGCTCAGTGGAATAATAGGATAAATAAGGAACAACTTTAGCTCAACAAATATGTTCGATATGTACCGCAACTTCTTCCTCGTAAAGAACAAAGGCTTGGGTGAAAAAATCATAAGCCACTGGTTCAAGATCACAGTCATTAGCTGCCTACGAGACAACACAACAAATTAAATATTCAATGTCAAGTTTTTAGAAAAAAATGTGCATTGTTAGTTGTGAAGCATTATAATCAGTGTCTAAACAGTACAAAAATATAATGCAGGTGTTTGCGATGGAGGAAAAGGTAAGCTTGTCCAGGCATATGTGATATTTTTAATTTCCAATATCTCTAAATAATTATCCACAGTCCTCTGTTTACCAGTGCTCCAATAATGTTACAAGTTGTTACCTCTGCACATTGCAAATACAGCCTCAATGCCAATTCAGGTGATGGGACAACAGAAAGAGTCTCAACAATCTGTGATAATGGAAACATTATTCATCTTAGCAATTATGAATGAATATACTGATGAAGAATCCTAGAAGATTCCAAGACATCTATAAGCAATGTGGCTTCGGTTAAAAGGTACAAAAAGGCAAAATAAAAGCATCTGAACTTGCACACTTCCCGCATTATAACTGACTGATTTATGCTACGCAGAAGCAATTAATTTTACTCCCTAAGCGGCATGGAGGAGTGAGCTAACATAAATGCAATTAATTTTACTCCCTAAGCAGCATGAAGGAAGCAATTAATTTTGCTACTAAGAACCTATGATAGTCATCGTCTCTTTCAGAAATGCTTAGCAATTAGCCATATCTGTTCACGTCTTCTCATTCTGTAGACAGATATGACTTGGGTATACTCACATAAAAAGTCTAAGTTTGGTCTTTATTACCTGATTGAGGATCTGAAATATTTTCTTTGGAGTGGCTGGAACTTCTTCTCCAGCTACATCTCCATCTTGGCAGTGCAATCGTCTCACCAACTACACCAAGAATGTGTCAGAAGTATTAGGTTATTCTTTTCCATCAGGGAAATGGAAAAGAATTTCAAGGGTTCTGTGGTGCATGGAAGGGCTAATTTTATAGTACTCCTAAAATGCTAAAATGACTGATGTTGTGATTATTGAGACTAATCCATAAATACCCAGAACGAATACAGAAGCGCAATTATATAAAAGTTTTAAAGCCTGATGTTGTTTAGTTTGGAAGCTCCTTGTCAGTAAAACGAGACAATTTCAGATAAGTAGACAATCAATCATTAACAAAAGCGAATCCTTCTTCATTTTTTACCCAGCTCTGTCCGAGAAATTCCATTTGGATACCGTGTAAATGCATCAGAACATTTAGAAATAGAAAATCATTGTACAACAGGAAAAGACACTAAACAGAAGGGCACATATAGTCCAAAGCAAGTAAAAAGAATTTGGGTGTGTCTTAATTTCAAGCATAGATTCTACAGATGTGAATGCTGGAGACAGAATCCATTTTTCAGTAGCATGCACACAAAATTATTTAGGTACTAGAAGGTATGAAGTATTTTACAGATCCTACTAGTAGGCTAATAGGAGCTTTAGCTAGAGGCTCCACTAGTATTCAGGAGTCCACATTAAACTAAAATCCAACTCATCAAAGTAATGCTCTTCCCCCGTTTACATCTGGATTCTCATGTTCCAAATAAAAAAATAATACAGGCATCTCCAAGAAATTACCTTGAGGGAAGAAAACACAAGTGGAGGAACCGTAAAAGGTAGGCGCGTTGGACCTCCAGCCTTTACGTGTTTCCATACTGTACAGATTATCTGATAAAATAGTAAAGGGAAAAAAAATAAGCTTCAGCACATATCAATGGATACAATATGCTAATAAAACACTACAACCACAATAATACAAAAGGACAAAAGCATAAATTCAAAAATACATACAGTACCTCAGAGTATAGATGTTATACTTATGACAAACTTAAGTATACAATTAGTAGTGAATGAAACCCTAGTTTCAGATAAACCAAGTCAAAATTATCTAAGTCACTGTTTAAAGTTGAGGAGATGTTGAGTTCCATTTCCAATACTCTTTCCTTTTGGCTTCATATTTATACATACCCTTCACCTCATCACCTTCTAGACAATAAACGAAATATACACAATAAATCAGAGTCATATAAGAGATGCATTACCTTCAGCATCTCCTCGGGATCATCATTATACAACATGTGCATGAGGCATGCAACAGAATTTTGCTCCTCAATAAAATCCTCTTCATCAAGCTAGTGTCAATAAATAAGATACAAGAAAAGGCATACAATAAGTAACGCAACTGATTAAAAAAATACAATGACAAATAGGCTCTGGAAATAGAGTAATGCGTCGTGTTGACCTCATCTGTAGAAATCCCTTCCAAATCCCTTATCAAACCCTTTATCAGTTCAAACAAAACTTCAACCTGCAAAACGTACCTTTATCATATTTATTGGAGGTCAAACCAAAACTACATAAATTGGAGAGGAGTATACCTTGTCAGAAGTTGAAACGCAGGTGGTGTTCTTCATAATGCTTCGGATTATAACCATTGCCATGACTTTGTTTGTCCTAGCATCAAGGTGATCCATCACGCGAGGATAATTAGAAAGTGTAAGAGCTGTGACAATGTCATCATATTTATCGAGTGGAGCACTAAGAAGGGCCACAACTTGTTTCGTTGCTCTACTATCCTCAAGCTTCGGCTTCCCAGATAAGATTTTGACACATGCTCCCTTTCAGAGATAAGAAAGTTAAGGAACTGAAGATAATGAAACTCCTGATTGTGATTTTGAATTTGGAAGTCAATAGAGTCACTATGAACTTTGGATTGAAGTATGCAACTTTATTGCAACCATAACAAATAACAACATTTGTAGGCCAGACATACTAAGCGGAGTCAAATAAGTTCAGCATGAACAATTGAATAGAAATAGACTAAAACTAAAATAATCTGTGGGAACCGACAGACGACATGCATACATGGGCTTCACTGTTATCAAGTTGCTTGCGTGGAATATCTGCATGAAATTCAAGAACTATACCAGCACTTGATCCACATAATCCAGCCGATCGGGATGAACACGAAGTGTGAAAGTCAGAAGAGACACGTACAAAGTAATGGCTCCAACGACAGGCATATCAGCTTGTGCTTCAATAACCTGCATAAGAAACAATTACGTTTTAGAAAAATGCTGAATTGAAAAAATATTGGGACATAATAAATAAAATCATGTAAAAGTAAGAGGAACCATTAAAAAATTAATGCTCAATTGTATGGAGAAGGAAACAGAATATGCCAAATGAAACTGACACGCTGACAAATCTAATTAAGCAAGTCCATTAGTCAACCTCAGCAGGTCAAAACTAATTTATCCAATAAATCTTAAAGAACTCACAAAGCCATCTGAATGGTAAGCACATAACGTCCGATTAAACAGGAATCAGCTCAGCATGGAGATCCCAGGCCCCACAAGTGTTTTGGCAATAAATATGTAGTCCAGTTTTAAGTTTTAACCTTTAAATCCATGAAACTTCAGGGAATATGTCGCTTACTCTAGCATTAAAGAGACCATTGGAGTGGAAGAGGTATTCATTCATAAAATTTATTCTATTTTCTCGTCCGACATCATAAAAAATGCTTCCTCACAATAATATAATATCTAAATGGTAGTTACTCATTTGATATATAGTTTACACTAGCATTAAAGAGAACATTGGAGTGAAATTGTTATTCATGCTTAAAATTTATTATATTTTCTCGTCCGACCTCATAAAACATGCTTCCTCGCCATAATATAATATTTAAATGGTAGTTACTCATTTCAAATTAGTATAACAGCGAAACTTTGAATTGTTTTCCTATTAGATATAAGAAAAACACCGAATGGATTAAGATAATTAATTTCAGGTTAAGAAGATGTCATATTTTTCATAATTTTGACTATTGCAATGATGATTCATCATTATTCCCCGATGTGATTAATACCACGAATGCATGTTGTCAATGTGAGACTTCCTAAATGTACTGTGTAAAAGCCCACAATGCCAAATTCGAAACAAAATCCATATCCAGATTATGGATATGGATTTTGTAGTAAGTACTTCAACTCATGGACTTCAAGGTGCTTTTTTTCTAATGCCGAGTTAAGTAGTAAGATGGTAGAAAGAGTCAAAATGTACCCCAAACTTCCATTTTGAAACACTTAATTCCATAATAAAAGCATTACTTCCAGAATCACTTATCTGCAAATCAACTTATGTAATTAGCTAGTTCTATACATTTAACATTTGTCAGAACCATTCTGGATTATTGCCCACTTAAATATGCATTATCATCTTTTCAGTAACAACGCCCTTTGACAAATAAACTTCAAAAGAAATTCAGCACTAAATTAATGTAAGAAACAAGATTTCACCTTTCCAATTGCACTGCTCAGCTTGGAAAATGCTTCAACTTGCAAAAATTCTGGCAACAACTGCATGAGGGGAAGTGGTCAAAAGAATCTTTTGAACGAAATCCATCAATTTGTGGAGTATGTAAACCACTTACTTCGGGACTTGAAGCAGCATAATTTGATAATCGCTCCATCAGTTGTGACAACACTGTTTTCAGGTCAACTGTAGGCTGAGAATCAAAGTGCAACATCAAGAAAAACTCCACACAGGCACACACAGGAGGAAATCTATTGAGTACGACATGAACTGCTTGCAAGGCCAAATGTTGGAAAATTAAATAAGATTGTTGGCTAAAGTTATACCGAGCTGCCTGCCGCATAAGTACATATCTACTCTCATGAGAGAAAATATCATAAAAACGAAATTTTTGTGCTCATCCAAAGATCTATAAAGAGTAGTTGATCGAGCTTGAAATATTGCCCAAGGCCAATTAGTAAAAGAGGCTGGATGGAACAAACGATCATTTGTTGCTCAAACATCAAATAAAGTGTTTCTTATTATTTCATTTTCCGAGCTTGTAGAGTTCAAGCCCATTGGAACTGCTCCAAAGTTATGAACTTTTTATATACCTAAAGAAATTTCATTTAATTTTTAGTTACAATCAAGCTAAAACATAGTTTTGCATTGCTCTAGAAAATTTCTCATCTCCTGTCCTTTCATCCTTCTCCGTGTTGCTGCTATTATGACACCAGGTAAACGCCATTGGGATTCTTCCAACCTCTTCCCATTCATTCCCCTAGCTTCCAACATCTATGGGCATCCACATTCTCCTAGACAATATTGCTTGTCGATGAAAGTTTACTTGGTAAACTCATTGGACTAAAAAGGGAAGGCATATCTTTAGCTCAACTATCCTATATAGTATATACAAGATCCTGTATAAATTTGGATAGCCAAACACTCATCGTAGATTGGAAACATAAAGCAAATCATTTTAGGATAATGGTTCTTGTAAAGTTGGATTGTCTTTCTACAACACCACACAGAAATCCACATTGAATAAATCTCGCGCATCATACGAACGAACTCTTAACAACATACATCATTACATTCAGAAAGAAAGAATTCAGATGAAGAGTCTAATAGAATAATCTATATTGTAAGATTGACTACTCACTTGTAGTTGGGGGCAGGCACCCAATAAAGTCTCAAGGGTTTGTAAGTGGTATTCATCTGGAAAAACTTGAATTATGCAGTCCATCAAATAATATTGTGCTAGCTCATCCTTACAATTAACAATCTGTCAAAACCAGTTTGTATCAAATATTACAGCAAGCATCACATTACACATTTTCAGATTTTTCCAGCAGGCGAACTGATGAACAAACCTGCTCTAGGACTCCTGGAAGAACATTGTCTCTGTATATTTCAAGGTCAACACCCTCTATCTGACTAAGGACGTGTAAATTTTTCCCCACCTGAGACATAAGAGATGATTAGCAACATCCTCACTGAATCTAAACACTTGAGCTAAGATAAGTGCTTGGTGGCATTGACTTACGAGATCACGCAGTTCATTCCTTTCCTTTTCAATTTTATCTCTCTCCCTAATAGGTCCCTGCAGACCAGAAATCCGGAAAGAAGGCCTCAACTCAGATCAGCCAAGCAAATATGTGCATCATAAGCATTATCACTCCTGCATGCCCAAAACATGCCCTCATGATCTACTTTACTTTAGCCCCATGCAATGCAAGTTTACAGATGCCAATTATGCTTAAAGAAATATACCGACAAGAACTCTTGGAGATATTAACGAACCTGATGCTGCATCCGGACCCAGAGTTTATTCATCTCTGTAAAATTCTGCAGCACAAATTCTACAGCATCCATGACAGTATCTCCTTCACTATAAGAAAGGCAAATCAACTATTTATCTAACTTGATAACGAGATACTGAATTACTGAAAACGTTTATGACGTCAATACGAGCAATGTAAAACTCTAAGGTTGAAGCTGGTAAGTGATGAGAAGTAATAATTAAACAGATAAGTACTTCTTTATGCCTGATATATACCATTGCTTCCCTTAAGTATAGGATAAACAAAGTCAAAATCTTATAATATACCAAATTGAAACGATAGCAAATAGAATAGAGATGGTCATTGTCTTACCCTTCATATTCTGAACCAATATCTGGCAACTTGTCTCTACTAACTTGAGCAAGATAACTCCTTAAAAACAGTCCACGGATGGGATGTTGCACAGCACGACACATTTCTACTAGATCTTTCAGAACATCCTTTGCTGGAGCCTCCTTTGACTTTATATAGACAGACCCAACTGTGCATAGAAGATACCTACAATCAACCAAGCATAACTAGTATGCATCAAACATGCCTCACATTTCAATAAAATTGATATAATTGCTTTATATGTGTAGATAGACGCAATCCGTTTTCTATTGAGTTAACGTTAAAGTAAAATGCACATCAATCCCAGCAGAAGTCGATAATGCAATGGAGTTGGAACTAGTCTAGAGACGATATTTAACAGTACGCCCAGAGCAAAAGAAATCAACAAGATCTTATATTCAGTTAAAGTTCCAATTCTATTCCTCAAATTAGTAGATTTTATACCCCTAAAGATATGTTATCACTCAAACCACTTCACATCCTAAATTGGTGGATTCTACGGTTAAGAGGATCATATACAGAAAAATTACTTGTGGTTTGGAACTCCAGTACACGGTTTTAAATAATAGTTTTAGGCCTTCTCCAGGGTGTTTGACAAACTTATATCCAGCTATAATATTAATCATGCATATTTCGACTCATTCACGTGCATACATGCATATAGAATATTAACATAGTACCTGAAAAGGCAGAATGATTACTTTCTTCATATAGAGACGGTATTACAATTCTTATAACAAGATTTGCATTATCAAAACTTACTACACAGATACTGAAAATGAATTAGCTTAATTCACAAATAGATCCTAAAAACACATACAATCTAGGCAAGATGTTTCCAGCATGCTGAACAAGCTCGTATAGGTCAACCACCGAACAACCGTGCCGATCTTCCTCTTTGAAGAACATCTCCAGACGCCTCAATTCATCAAATGCACGCATATCTGAACACCCAAAGAAAAGCATTACACCAATGCAAAATCTCACATAATTAACTCACAACATAAACAAAAGACGACTCAAGATCCAAAAGAACATTACAGAGCTCATAATATTTGTGAGGCGAGAGTCTCGAAGTCCGAAGCTCGGACAGCAACTGAGCGGAGAATTTCAGCGCTTCCCGCAGATTATTCGAATCCTGAATTTTTCCAAAAACATTGAAAAATCGAAAAAAAAAGAAAAAGAAAAGGAAACGCTAATCTCGATTGAGCTTCTTCATTCAAAGAAAGCGATAACTTGTAGGTCAGTGAATCCATCTTATTTTATGGTTTTCGTGAATTTCATCATGCCTTGTGCAGAAACTGATGAATTGAGATCGGAAGTCTTACCAGAGCACGGTGGAGGTAGAAGGCGTTGTGCTGGATTCCGGCGATGCCCTCGGCAAGCCATTTGTCCTCGTCTTCGATTCCGTTGGATATCATCATCGCCGTTCTTCTTTGTCTCTCATCAATCAATTCAGCAGCTCGGAGTTGGCATAGCGAGGCGTTAATTTGTAATGTAAATTCCTTTGGCTATGTTTGGTTGAAGTAAGGGAAAGGGAGGGATTTTAATAGAATGGAGGGGGGGGGAGTTGAGGTGATGTAAAATATTTTAATTTTTAACTTGTTTGGAGGAAATTTGTAGAAGGTGAGTGGAAAGAAAATGGTAAACCTTGTTTAGTTAGAAAAATGGAAGGAAAAAAAAATATTGTAAAAATGACATTTATACTTTTAATGATGTAAGAAACAAAAAAAAATAAAATAAATAATTTATGTCTTAAAGGTCAAAAAAGTAATTTGATATTAAAAATTTTCTCTTCTCTCCAAATTCCCCCACTTTTGGAGGGGAGAACATTTTCCCTTAGGCTATGTTTGGTTCAAGTAAGGGAAAGGGAGAGGAGGAATTTTAATGGAAGGGAGGTGAGGGGAGGGGAGGTGATGTAAAATATTTTACCTTGTTTGGAGGGATTTTGTAAAGGTGGGTGGAGGGAAAATGATAAACCTTGTTTGGTTAGAAAAATGGAAGGGAAAGAAAAATATTGTAAAAATGACAGTTATACCATTAATGATGTAAGAAACAAAAAAATAAAATAATTTATATATTAGGGCCAAAAAAGTAATTTGATGTTAAAAATTTTCCCTCCCCTCCAAATTTTTCCATATTTGGAGGGAAGCACATTTTCCCTTGGAGGAGGGAATTGAAGGGAAAATCCTACCCCCTCTCCTTACACAAAATTGAACCAAACAAGAGAAACTTAAAAAGTTCCCTCCCCTCTCTTTCCCTCCCTCCATTTCCCATGAACCAAACACTAGCTTAGAGGAGGGAGTTGAAGGGAAAATCCTACCCCCTCCCCTTACACAAAATTGAACCAAACAAGAGAATTAAAAAGTTCTCTCACCTCCCTTCCCCTCCCCTCCCCTCCATTTTCCCTGAACCAAACACTACCTTAATGTAAATTTTTGTAATGTTAACACGAGAAAAATGTCACCAAATAAAACGATAAGTCGATGAGGTGCAAAAAACGTATAGTTAAGATAGTAAAGTGTAATTTTTCCATAAATAAATTATTGAAAAGTCATTTTTGCATTTACATCTCAACCAAGGTAACCGGAAATTGCTTAAGTGCAATTTTTAACAAAGTTATATGAGCAAAGTATCATTAAAAAAAATGAGTACGTAAAGTGCAAAAAAGTAAAAAAAACGTATAGTCGGGTGACTAAAGTGTAATTTTTCCTTATTGAATTGTTATTGTCTACATCACAAGTAGGTCGTACAAAACTTTATTTAAAAAATGATTCTTTAAATAAATTAACAATTTATGTTGAAGGTTTATATTTATTAAAAGTATTATAATACCGACAAATTATTAGTTTCGGCAAATGTTCAATCTCGAACTAGTTTAAAACTCACGTAGTTGAGCTCAACTCGTTCAGAATCGAAATATGATTTTTTATGTAATTTTTACAGCTCGATTCACTAAGGCACTCAAGTTCAACTTACTAATGCTTGAGCTTGGCTCGTTAATATTAATAAACGAGTTGAGTTTGATCTCGTTTACCTACTTATTTCGTTAATGACCCGAGGTTCAACCTGACTCAACTTGTTTACACCCTTTAACTGTTGTTAGGCAAATCCAACGCACCGTAGTATAGATTTTTAAGAGATGAATACCTATAAAACGAAATATCATGCTCTACAAAATATTGCTTGGAGGTTGAAGCACTCGAGTTGAATGCCACATCACATAACATTTATATGGACTTGAATTATACGATAACAAAGGAGTGCTTGTTGAAGGAAGCTTGTGTTAGACTTGATCTCCGTTAAGGTTGAGCTCTCATGTTAAAAAGATTCCTTGTGGTTGGTTTTCTTGTCAATTAGCAGTTAAACAAGTATGATTATCCTCGTAATCGATTGGTTAGAAGTCGTTTTCTTTTTGAGTTTAAATTCATAGTATTGGCCGCTTAGAAAATAAAATAGAAAATAAAAACAAATGAGTGCGATAATTTAAATCTCCAACTCTTGTTAAACAATAATGGGCAGTTTGTGGATTGGACAATATTGAGGGCTCATTGGAGATATAATTGTTTAAGAAGAATTTGTATCATTAGAGGTAGAAAAATGAAAAAAAAAAAAAA